GATGAGCTGCTAGGTTAGCATGAAATTCCATGATGGCAGTTTCAACGGCAGCAGGAAGGTGAGGAGGAGGGTTGCTGGCTAGGCATGTGTAGGGCTGCACCGGAAAGGAGTAGAGTCCCAAGGCGTTAACTTGAGCACGCAAATAAAGGCCACGACCGATGCCCATGAGGCAGTGCGATGGATGGGAGAAGTCGAAGTGGCAGCTGGCTTGAACAGAGTGACGGACGGAGAGAAGGTTGAATTGTAAGGCGGGGCAATGTAGGGCAAAGGGTAGAGAGAGAGGCTCATGATGAGCGGTGAGATTGGCCGAGGTCTCGCCAGAGTGGGTGGTAACACCGAGATCGATCGGCCCGTAGCCGAGAACAGGAAGTTTGCCACCATCACCCACAGCAAGAGTAAATGATTTGCAACAAAGGCGGAGTCAATATAATAGCGACGGTGAGTCGTGCAGGAGGCGGTGGCACCAGAGTCGATGATCCATTCGTTGGAGAGCTGGGGATAGAGTGAAGGTTCCAAGGGGTATGGATTGGTTGAAGAAAGGCGGAAGAAGGATGAAAGGTTTGGGACGTGTTCCATCCAGCAGATGGACGTGATTGCGAAGCGCGACGTTTAGGAGGCGATGAGCGAGCACGACGGGTAGCTGATGAAAGGCGAGGATAGGCGGAGGATGGAGGGGATATGGGACGACTACGACTTGAGTCTAAGTGGATGGTAAAGGAAGGAGCAGAAAGGTGTTGATGAGCTCGAGAGAAGCGGCCGGAGGAACGCCATCGCTGCGAGGAACGTGGAGGCGATCGAGAGTCGTCACGATGGCGCTTGGCATAGCTGCTGTAGAGACCCTGATCATTCCCATGGTTGTCGTCGTAGTCGTCGCGGTCGCGGCGATGATGTTGTGTATGATCCTTTCAATTCCTGCTTCTATTGTGGCTCGCCTGAACACCGCCTTCCTGACTGCCGCACCATGCGCGATGACGACAGTCGAAACCGCATTCGTGCCGGCGTTCCCAAGCATTGACACACACTGCCGTCGGAAACGTGCATCGTCTCGCAAGATCATTGACGATAGTTGTGACAGTTTGAGTATGCCCAACGTGGCAGTGATTCGTAAGAGGGGGCAGCAGCAGCAGTATAAGTAGGCGGGGGATGGTTAGTGGAAGGCGTAACATACAAGGCGGTTGGAGGTGTAGTGAAGTAAAATTGATCTGATCGTCGAGAGTAGTGGAGAGTGTGTCGGTACTGATGTCCTCACTATACTTGAGTTGAGTGAGACTTGCAAACATGATCATGGCGTCGCGGGTGCCGGCTTCATGGCGCGCCATAAGAGCGGTCCAGAGATGGAAGGGAGAGGTGTATGATCCGATGACTTGTTGGAGGATAGGCGTAAGGGAGTTGAAAAGAAATGCCTTAGCTTGGACGCGTAGGGAAGTGAGGGACTTCGAAATATACTCATCAAGAAATTTGCGCGAACGAAGTCTTGTTCGAGGCATTTCACCGTTGCAAGGCGCTGTTCCAAGGCGTCATCAGCATAACCGTCGGTGGAGTACTTCGCATCATTGCGTATCTTGTCAACCTAGTGTTTGGCCTGGCTGATGGTGTAGGCGTCGGTTTCAATGCGCGTGGAGCAGTATGTCTCGTTGGTGTAGAGGGAGAAGAAGCATGCGGTCGCGGACGCTTCTTCAAACGTGGTGCGCCACGCAGCATAGAATTTGTAGGCATCGTCCAGGAGAATGGTAATGGTCGAAGCAGGAGGCTCATAACCTGTCACGAAGCAAGAAACAGGAGGTAGACGTAGGTCTTAGGCGTGTAGCAACTTTGCGCAGTGTCCAAGACAAACCAAGTGTGTGGGACAGAGGAAAACGAAAAGTGACATTCATTCGTTTACAAACTATCTAGCTTCGTTCCTATTGGCTAAAAATCAGCCAAAGGGAAACACTGACTTGTGAGAATCAGCGCTCTTTTCCTTGTGTTAGAGCCGTGATTGGGTATCACTAGGGTAGGGTTGCGACATGAAGAATATACAGAACATGCAGGAATAAAGCGGCCACTGTATCGGCCTGTCAGAGTTGATAGACTAGGCGATAGAGTTTGGGAGAAATAGGCGAGGACAAAAGGCGTGGTGAACACAGGCGAGGGAAAAGCACCACTTGACACCCTCGATGACCAAGGCTTACGCCAGGTCATGATAGCATATGTTTTGTGTGGTTATGCGTGTTGTTGGTCAAGGATGCGATATTTGGAATGATGTAGCCTTGGCTTTCATTCCTGGTTCGACCTCGAACTGAGCTCAACCTTTGTGTGCGTGTTCAACCCCCAGTCTATCCAACAAATGTAGCTAGCTGGTTGTGCAAACCGACGCAGACAACAGAGCAGCGTCTGCGCGGTCCTGCACTCAAAGTAGATCTAGGTAACAAGGTAACACATACTGTAAGCCTTGGACCCGATCTCCTCCACATACATTAGCTTTCATTATGCTGGAGGTTTGGTATCCTAAACGTAGTGCACAGGCTTGGGCTCGTGATCTCCTGTGACGGAAATCAAGGAATGTACCCATCCCCTTTCAATATGCCTTCAACCTTGTCGCAAGTGGGGAACATGTCGGCCGCTACGACATCCAAGAGGCCAGTTTTATCAAGGACGGCCATGAGGGCAATTGCGGTACGTGCGTACTCTTCGACGGTGAAGGTGGCATTGTCGTCGCGAAAGCGGTTATTATAGACCAACATTCTCACAACATCGCTTCCGAAATATTTGACTACGTTACGTAAGTCTTTCTTCGCGAGGTGCGGCAGGGCTTTCAACCACAACGATCTTAACTTGGAGACCTGGGCCGGGTTCGCAGCGCTAGCGAGCACCTTGACCGAACTGCCTGCAAACCGTGTGGAGATATTGGCGGTAGGCACCACCACCGAAAGAACTTGGTCGGCGAGGACAGCGGCGCAGTGAGAATGGGTTACTGCGTCCCCCATGGGGCAGTCCACCCACGAGGGAGAAGGGCGGCCCCAGCACACTAGACCAATACCCGTGTAGTTGGGTTTGCACTTAGGGTAGCACAACCCTGCATCGAGGTCTTCGTTGGCAGCGCAGATGCCTATGTAAGGCGTCCCAATCGGGATTTTCTTGGCACACGACAGTCCATCGTGAGTACATATTCTTCCAGCAAATAAATGAGGCCGTCTTGTTCGTCTTGGTCTGGTGGTTGTCGGTTTGGTTCACGGTGGCAGTGACCATGGCGGCAAACACGGTGAGGAAAGCAAAAATGTTGGCCATCGGGTGAATGCAAGGTAAATGGCAAAGTGACGACTTCAGTTGGACGACGCGCGCTTCCAGTTTCGAGTCAATGATATTCTGGCACTTGCCTAAGTTGTCTGAAAGGGGGGGTGTCCCAGCCTTGAGGCCTTGGTCGAGGGGTCTTGCCGACGCAAACAGGCTCTAATACTGTAAGAGAGAAATAGAAAACACAAGCGCCTTTTTCGAGTCAACAACTAATCAAGAATCTACAACGTCTGGCAAGAATATTCAACTTCAGCCATGTGTTGTACTTCAACTTTGTATTGTGCTACTAGTACTCCGGAGTATCTAATCAAAGTTTCCACAGGCAGTTCATAAATCGTCGGGATCCAAATGTCGAAAAGTGTAGTTCCCTCACCAAACATTCGTTAATAATCATCCTATTAACGTTAGTGACTTTAGCAACCCCGAATTTGGCCAAATTCCTGAAATCTTCTTCGTTCGATTCTTCGAAAAAAGTTGGGGAGAGGAAAATCAAAAACCGCGTTAGCTTCAACGGAATTTCAAACTCCTGTGCGGCAGGAAATGCAAGTTGGTACTCTTGAGGCCTTTGTCGAGGGGTCTTGCCGACGCAAACAGGCTCTAATACTGTAAGAGAGAAATAGAAAACACAAGCGCCTTTTTCGAGTCAACAACTAATCAAGAATCTACAACGTCTGGCAAGAATATTCAACTTCAGCCATGTGTTGTACTTCAACTTTGTATTGTGCTACTAGTACTCCGGAGTATCTAATCAAAGTTTCCACAGGCAGTTCATAAATCGTCGGGATCCAAATGTCGAAAAGTGTAGTTCCCTCACCAAACATTCGTTAATAATCATCCTATTAACGTTAGTGACTTTAGCAACCCCGAATTTGGCCAAATTCCTGAAATCTTCTTCGTTCGATTCTTCGAAAAAAGTTGGGGAGAGGAAAATCAAAAACCGCGTTAGCTTCAACGGAATTTCAAACTCCTGTGCGGCAGGAAATGCAAGTTGGTACTCTTGAGGCCTTTGTCGAGGGGTCTTGCCGACGCAAACAGGCTCTAATACTGTAAGAGAGAAATAGAAAACACAAGCGCCTTTTTCGAGTCAACAACTAATCAAGAATCTACAACGTCTGGCAAGAATATTCAACTTCAGCCATGTGTTGTACTTCAACTTTGTATTGTGCTACTAGTACTCCGGAGTATCTAATCAAAGTTTCCACAGGCAGTTCATAAATCGTCGGGATCCAAATGTCGAAAAGTGTAGTTCCCTCACCAAACATTCGTTAATAATCATCCTATTAACGTTAGTGACTTTAGCAACCCCGAATTTGGCCAAATTCCTGAAATCTTCTTCGTTCGATTCTTCGAAAAAAGTTGGGGAGAGGAAAATCAAAAACCGCGTTAGCTTCAACGGAATTTCAAACTCCTGTGCGGCAGGAAATGCAAGTTGGTACTCTTGAGGCCTTTGTCGAGGGGTCTTGCCGACGCAAACAGGCTCTAATACTGTAAGAGAGAAATAGAAAACACAAGCGCCTTTTTCGAGTCAACAACTAATCAAGAATCTACAACGTCTGGCAAGAATATTCAACTTCAGCCAT